CATGAAGTAGTTGGTGGGCTCCACCCCCAACTCTTCCCTTGAGCCGTTTAGGCCGACGAAGACAGTGAAACAGCCCTCGCCGTGGGCCACCAGGGAGAGCTGGGACTGGATCTCTGCAAGAGGAGAGAAAAAGGGGGATTAGTCTTTCCTGGGGAAAATCAGGCTTTTCTAGGATCCTCTGCTATGAAGTGGTTTCTCCAATCCTGACCCCCTCTCATCAAACCCTGCACTTCCCACCCACCCATCCCCATTCCCCCCATCCCCATTCCCCCCAGGTGTGCGCCTTCCACCCAGCTGTGCCACTTCCACCCACCCACGCCCTCTTCCTATCCACTTGTTCCCCCTTCCCACACACCCACCCACCCATCCCCATTCCCAGTGGTGTCCCTTACACCCAGCTGTGCCTCTTCCACCCATCTGTGCCCCTTCCCAACCACCCCATCCCCTTCCACCCAACCATCCCACTTTGCCCCCATCCCTGCCCCTTCCACCCACCCTTGCCCCTTCCAGCAGGTTTTTTGGCAGCTCTAAACCCAACTTTAGGTGGACATTCCACCAGCTTCCACAAATTCCAAGGCCCTACACTGTGTTTTTTAGGGAATCCTTGCACCAAATCAGGACTTTTCTAACTATGGTCAATCTCAGTTGATTAATTTAGGCTTAATTAAAACCCCTGTGAAGAAACAAGTGGCCAGGGCTGGGTTTGAGGGCTGCAGCACAGGAGCGATTTAACATTAACTTAAATGTTAACTGATAAATCCGCTTTGGGATGAAGCTTAGGACAGGATTAACACTGTAACCGCCCCGGAGCCCGGCGCTGCCGCGGTACCTGGCAGAGCCTGTGCCTCTGGGGGCAGCAGCTTCTCGTAGGTGTTGAATATCCCGGCGTCCGAAATGATTATGGGAGCGAAGATCTTCACCGAATCTTGGCCTTTTTTGACACTCACACCTGGGAGGGAAAACCCAGAGCGGGGGGAGCGGTGCTGGTGAAGGGACCCCGCTTCGGGGAGCGGCCCCGCAGCCCATCCCGCGCCGGCGCTCACCGCAGGCTCTGCCCTGGGAGTCCAGCAGGATCCTCTCCACCGGCGCCTTCCCAAACACATTGCCCCCGGCTTTCCGGATCACCAAAATGGTGTGGAAGACGATTTCCCCGGAGCCGCCTTTGGGGTACCACGCACCGCGGAGGAAGTGGTTCACCAGGATGCTGTGCATGGAGAAGCTGACCTTGGAGGAGATCACACCTGGAGAAAGAGGCAGCCAAGGTGGGTTTGGGCCAAATCACGGGTTTGGGGCTTATCCTAAAGGTTTTAGGATGAGGAACACCATAGACACAACGCTGGGGAGAAGGAGGGATGCAGGTGAGGAACTTGGAGGAGCGGGGAGGACGTCGGGCATGGGCAAAGCCCGTGGTCACCAACCCGACCAAGTCGTGGCAGGCCACGAGCAAAGCCCCGGGCGTTGGGATGGAGGCAAGGGAGAGGTTCAGGGATTCCAGGAGGGGACATTCCCAGTTTGACGCCACCCTGGAGCCTCCTGGTCACCTACCGTAGGTGGGGAAGAGGTAGCTGAGGACAGCCCGGAGCTCGGGGTTGGGGGTGAGGCCGTCCACCACCTCCTTGAGGCTGCGCGAGGCCATGCGGGAGAAGGCGCAGACGCGCGGGAGGAGCCCGGACCAGCACAGGAGCCTCACCAGGTACCGCGGCAGCATCTTCAGGACACTCAGCAGCACAACCCCCCAGCTGGTGCTCTGCGGGGGGAGCACAGGGCTCAGCGGGGCCACGCCCCAAAAACGCCCCAAAGCACCTTTTTCCCCTTAAATTCACCGCTGGGCGTCCTGGGCAGCTGTGGACAAGGGGAGTGCTGGCTCCCCCAAGAAGCTTCCCCCCCTCCCCCCGCAAAAAATCTCCCATCCATAAAGCTCCCCCTAACAAAGCTCCCCATAAAAACTCCCCCAATCAGGAAAACTCTACTGGAAAGCTCCCCCACAAAACTCCCCCAAAAAGCTCCATATAAAAAAAAGGTCCCTTGAAAAATGTCCCCCAGAAGATGTGGGGTGCTGGGGTTTTGAGGCAGGAAAGGGCGACTTTGGATGTTTCCCAACGCTTCTGGGACAAGGCCATCATTCCCTGGGGGTGGCCAGTGTCTGGGTGCCAGGGGGTTTCCCCTCTTGGTGTGATCCTCCCGATCCCAACCCCCTTGTTTTATCCCACCCAGATGTGCCTCTACCTTCACCAGCTGCTGGAACTTATCGATGGCCGCGGCTTCTCCAGGGAACTGCTCCTTCAGCTTCTGGTAAAGTTCCTGCTCCCCAGCATAGATCTGGTAGGTCTTGCTGTTGCCCTGGGGGTCCCCCAGAACCACGGTATCGTAGACAGTCGGGAGCTGGGCCCACTCCAGCTGCCCATCCGTCAGCTGGTCCATCAGGAACCGCATCAGGGAGCTCTCCTGCATCTCCCCCACATAGTGGATCCCTAAAAGAGACATTTTACTGGTTTTGTCCGCTTTTTTCTTCATTTTTCCTTTTTTTTCCTTTATTTTCCCACCCCAGGATGCACTGAATGCACCTCTATTTATCCATCCCCTCCCCATCAACTCCATGTGGAAGGGAAAGGGAAAATCTGGGATACACACACCTCCCACTTGGGGTAAACAGTTTTCACCATCACATTTTTATTTGGGAATCTGGGGAATTTTTTTCCATATTGGTATTTTTCCTGTGTTTTTTCCACCCCGGGATGTACAGGACCCTCCTCTTATTTTTCCACCCCCACTCAACAGCTCCCTTTGGAAGGGAAAGGGAAAATCTGGGATACACCAGCCACCCACTTGGGGTGAATGCTGCTTGCCGTGGTGTTTTTAATTGGGAATTTTGTTACACATCGCGATTTCTCATCCCTGTGGAAATAATTAATCCTGGAGCTCCGGGGGTACGCAGAGCTGGACTTTGTCTTGCTGTGGAGGAGTTTTCCAAGGAGGTGCCAAGTTTGTCCTAAGGCAATATTCCTGGTTGAATATTGTTTCTGAGAGTTCCGTAGGGGCTGGATATGGGGAATTCAGGGGGGTTTGGTGCTTTGCAGCCAGAGAATTTTGGGGTGAAGAACAGCCTTGTCTAGCACAGGGTGGGTGCTGGGGCCCCCTGACCTGACCCCCGATGGGTGCGATTCCCACCCCGAGTGTGCCCCAGCCCCCTCCTTCAGATCCAGGGGGGGAATTCTGGGGCCCCAGATCGTACCGGTGTCGAACTCGAAGCCCTTCTCGGTGAAGGTGTGGCAGCAGCCTCCCAGCTTCCCGTGCTGCTCCAGCACCAGCACCCTCCGGCCGGCCTTGGCCAGGAGCGCGGCTGCCGCCAGGCCCCCCACGCCGCTGCCCACCACGATGGCATCGAGCTGGGGGGGCACCTTGTCTACCGAGAACACTGCAGGGAGAGGGGGTGTCAGCGGGGGGGCACCCCTGGGGCATGGGGTACCCCCGAAACCACGGCGAGGGGGCGGCACCCAGGGGTGATACCAGGCTGGGGGGTGTCACCCTCGGGGGGGGGGTCACACTAACACGGGGGTGACTCTGACACTGGGGGGACAGTGCCATCTTGGGGGCCTTCAGACTGACCCCACCGGGGGGGTACATACTGACACGGGGGGGGACTCCACGTGGGGGAGGGACAATGCCACCCTGGATGGTTTCAGACTGACAAGGGGGGGCTGATGCCACCCTGGGGGAGTCAGCGCTGCACTGCGGGGGCCGTGACAGCCCGGGGGGTGATTCCGCTCCAGGGGCAATGCCGGGACGATTGACGCCACCCCGGTGGGAGACATCGCCCTGAGGGGCCGGTGCTGTGCCGGGGGTCCCGTACCTGTCTTGACGACGGTCCTCCGCACAGCCTTGTCGGTGACGAGCGGCCCGGGCGGGCGGCGGCTGTCGGCGGCGAAGGGGTTGGGGCCGCCCGAGAGTTGTGGGAACAGGAAGAAGAGGACCGGGATGAAGAAGAGGAGGAGGACGACGAGGAGAAGGAGGGGGACGAGATAGAGCATCGCCTGCAGCCACATGTTGCTGCGCCGTCCGGCGGGGACAGGAGTAACCGGGGCGAGGGGACGGCAAGGGCGAAAAAGACTGGGAAAAGGGGAGCGGCACCGGCAATGGGCGGGAGGACCGCGGGAGGGGCGGGGGTTTACACTGGGAACTGGGAGCTGGCACCGAGTCACGGGACTGGGCACTGGGGGCGGGCACTGGGATTCCGGGAGCTTGGAACCATGAAACAGGCAGTGGCTGCTGGGAGCTGACAGTGGGAGCTGTCACGGGGCACTGCGAGCTGCAAGCAGGCACTGGGCACTGGGAACTGGGCACTGGGAACTGGGCACTGGGAGCTGGCACTGGGAGCTGGCACTGGGAGCTGGCACGGGGCACTGCGAGCTGCAAGCGGGACGCAGGCACTGGGCACTGGGAACTGGGCACTGGGAACTGGGCACTGGGAGCTGGCACTGGGAGCTGGCACTGGGAGCTGGCACGGGGCACTGCGAGCTGCAAGCAGGACGCAAGCACTGGGCACTGGGAGGCATCACTACTGGGATATGGAGTCACGGAGTCACTTGGAGCTGTCACAGAGCACTGGGAGCTGGGTCTGAGAATTGGCACTGGGCACCGGGAGATGGCAAGTGGGCACTGGGAGCTGACACTAGGAACTGGTAGTGGGATACTGGGAGCTGGGACTGGCACTGGGAGCTGGGACTGGGCACTGGTCCCGGGCACTGGTCCCCGGGAGTGGTCGCCCCCCCGCCCTGTAGCCCCGCCCCACTGTCCCCAGTCCCCGCCCCCGGTCGTAGCCCCGCCCCCCCGAGCGTAGCCCCACCCTCTGGTCTCGCCCATGTTTGACCCTCGCGCGCCCCCGTCACCGCCCCGCGCGGGGCACGACGGGAGTTGTAGTCCCGCGTCTCTCCCAGCGGGCTGGGCCGAGGACTCCAACTCCCGGCGTGCAGCGCGGCCGCGCCTGCGCAGTGTGGCGGCGCCGGGCCGGGAGGGGCCCCGCGGGGTCAGGGCGGGAACGGGACCCCCGTGAGGGGCTCTGGGGGGCCCTGGGGGTGTTCGAGGGACCCGGGGGGGCTCCTGAGGGGCTGGGAGGGGATTTGTGGGGGCCCTGGGGGTGTTCGAGGGACCCGGGGGGCCTCCTGAGGGGCTGGGAGGGGATCTGGGGGCGCTGGCAGGGACCTGGGGGTGCTCCTGAGGGGCTGCAGGGGGGGCACTGAGAGACCAGAGGAGAGTCCTGAGGGTGCCCGTGAGGGGCTGGGGGGGTCCTGAGTGGGCCGGGGTGGTCCTGGGGGGTGTCAGTCTCCAGGGAGGGTCTCCTGGGGGGTGTCAGTCTCCAGGACCCTCCTCCCCAGCTCTGATCTCCGCCCCGCTCTCCTCCCGCAGGCCATGAGCGGCGCCGGGGCCCTGGAGCGGCGGCCGCGCGTGTTTCCCCCGGCAAGTCCCTGCCCGTGCGTGTCCGGCCGAGCCCCCGGGGCCCCCCTCACCTCCGGGGGCCCGGTCCCCCTCACCGCTCCATTCTGTCCGTATAAAATCATCTGGGAGGCACAACTGCCCCCCCCAAAACCCCCTTCCAGAGGGGCCTGAGCCACCTGCCGGTGGGGCACAGGGGCTGTTCCCGCGGGGAAATCCTCGCGGTTTGGGGTCGGTTGGTGTTTGGGGTCTGGCTCGGGGGTGACACTGTGGTTCCCTCTCTCCCCCCAGCTCCCGGCTCTGGGGCAGGATGGGGTCCTGCAGGCACTGGTGCTTGGAGCAGGGCAGTGCTCGGCCCCTGGTGAGCTTCTCTTGCTTCTCTTGGATCGATCCCGGTGTTCTCTGGTGGGAAGGTCACCTGGGGGGCCGGGAGGGACCTCAGGGATCCAGCAGGGAAGCCTCAATCAAATCCATCTGGTCCCGGCTTGTTCCCCAAGACCACCCAAGATAAACCTTGCAGTTGGGATTTTCCCTGGAAAAGGGGAAATCCAGCTCCAGGATGTGCTGGGGGGTGTTGGGGGAAGGGAGCAAATCCCCCCATCCCATGACTCCCACCCGGATCTGACCCTTGTGCCCCTCCCCTCGGGCAGGGATCAGCGAGGAGCAGCGCCGGGCCCAGGAGGAGTGGGAGGCTCTGGAAGAGATCCAGTCAGGTACTGGGAGCTGGAGAGGTCTGGAAAGGAGGGAAGGACCTGGATCCCGGAGGGCAGGATGGGTGGGGGAGCACCTGGGGGGATTATTTGGGGGTGGAGGGGACTGTGGAGAGTGTTTTGCCCCTGCTCTCCATGGCTCCGTCCTCCTGGGGGTCACTCTGGGGGGTTCACTGGGCGTTCAGGGGTCACTCAGGGGGAACAGGGGTCACTGGGGGGGTCTAACCCCCTCCCTCTCTCCCTGCAGGGCTGGGGGGCACCTCTCCCGTGCCCCCTCCCCCGATCTCCTTCGCGGAGGCGCTGCAGCACTTCCAGAGCTCGGGGCTGCCCCAGAGCCGGGTACGGCCCCGGGGGCGGGGCAGGGATCAGGACTGGGGGGTGCTCAGCCCCCCTGCCCCCGGGGGCTCGGCCCTGACGGCTCCGGGGTCTCTCCTGCAGAGGAAGGCGCGGGGGCCGGGGCGCCGGGGGGCCTTGGCCGTCCTGCTGCGCTGCCTCGGGGGGTCCCCCCGGCTCCGGCCGCAGCTGCGGGGGGAGCAGGAGCTGGTGCTGGCCATGGCACAGTGTGAGTGAGCCCCGATCCCCCTGCTCCCAGTTCCATCCCCTGCCCATTCCCCATGGACACAGCTCCCCCCCCATGCAGGATCCCCCCTGCCCCACAGCCCTTCCTGTCCCTCAGTCCTGGACGGATGGGATGGGATGGGATGGGATGGGATGGGATGGGATGGGATGGGATGGGATGGGATGGGATGGGATGGGATGGGAATCCCCCCGTCCCTCGCCATGGGGGGGTTGTATCTGCCCAGCCAGGGGGGCACACACAGGGAAACCCCGGGACTGTGGGGTTGGAGGCTGAGAGGGGCCTTTTAAGGGCACCAAGGGAGTTTTGGAGGAGCCAAGTGGTATTTTTTAGGTGCCGGGGGGGGTATTTTTGAGAGGGCTGTGGTTGGGTTTTGGGCACCAAAGGGCAGTTTTTGGGCACTGTGGGATTTCTTAGGGCGTCAGGGTGTGTTTTTTGGGCACCAGGGGATGTTTTTAGGTGGCACGGGTTGCTGTTGGGGCGCCAAGATGCATCTTTTGGGTGCCAAGGGCTGGGTTTTGGGTAGCCAGGGGGTGTTTTTGGGGAGCTGTGGGGATTTGTAAGGTGCCATGGCGTGTTTTTGGGCTCTGGGGTGGGTTTTTGGAGGATATGCTGTTGTTTGAGATGCTGAGGGGTGTTTTAGGCGCACGGGGGGGGTGTTTTTGGGGTGCTGAGGGCTGGTTTTGGGTGCTGGGGGGTGTTTTTTAGATCCCAGGGGTGTTTTTAGCCACCTGGGGCGTTCCCTCCCCCCGGGTGCCCCTCCCTCCCTCCTGCCAGGCGCCCTGGATGACTCGGAGCGGGTGCACATGCGGATCCTCCAGACCATCTACCGGCAGCTGACACGCTCCCGCCGGGGCTGCCCCCGCTATGGGACACACTGGGAGGAGCTGGGATTCCAGGGTAGGGCTGGCAACGAGCTCTGGCCATTCCCAGACTCCACCCAAACCTCCCCTGGAGCAGCTCTGTCCTATCCCAGCTCCCTCAGGCACACCCTGTGCTCCAGCCCCGTCTCCGTTGCCCTTCCCTGGACACGCTCCAGCACTTCAGTGTTCTTCTTGGACCCCAAAATTGATCCCAGGATTTGAGGTGCAGCCTCACCCCAGTCCTTACACTCGTCTCCATATGCCTACAAAATTCCCAAGGGCACCCTCAATCCCTTTATCCATAAAGATACTAAGTCAAACTGGGCCCAGTACAACTGGACTGCTTGGCCAGGCTATCCCAGTGCCATGTGCCTAAAAAAGCTCGTAACTCCTGGAAAAGTGTGGGAACAGGAGTGTAGCAGGGGGAGCAGGGTTAGTTAATGCCCAGGTGAGTGAGGTGGTGGCCGCATTAGGGAAATTCCCTGGAAACTTTCCCTCCAGAAAGGGAATCCCCAGGATCCTTGTACCCTGGGAGTGCAGTGACAGGGAATCAACGGCCCACGGAAGGGGAAGGTGGCAGGGAGTGACTCCATGCTGTCCCTGCCCCCCCAGGTGTGGATCCTGGGACTGACCTGCGTGGGACGGGAATGCTGGGGCTGATGCAGATCCTGTTCTTCGTCCTGGACTCCCGGACGCTGCCGCTGGCCAGGGAGATCTTCCAGCTCTCCCAGCATGAAACCCAGGCACGGCCTTCCCCCTCCTCCCTGGGGGGAGACTCCCTTGGAATTCCCAGTGCTCTGGCAAAGGGAAGAGCAAGGAGCTCTTCGGGAATGTTTTGGGATGCTGAACCCCCTCGGGCTGGTGAGGGGAGGAAGGTGGTGCCCGAGGAGCCCTGATCCAGGCTGGAGCTGAGCTCCAGGTGCTGGATTTGTGCTGGGAATGGGATTTTAAAGATTTGATCCTGGCTTAGAGTGGAATAAAAGGGCTGGGGAGTTGGGCAACAGGAAAATGGAAGTGAGTGGAGCCTGTCTCCTTAAATTCCACATTTTAGTCCATGTTTAAGCCTGGGATACAAGCTCGGCTCAACCATCCACATCCATCCAAGCCTGGATCCATAGAGCTGTTACCTAGTACATGGATCTGCCATCCATCCTGTGGGTTTGGGGCCACACAGATGTGGTGTCAAAGGGTTGGAGGTGCCAGAGGGGAGGAGGGTTTTCCCTCTGAGCTGCAATAACGCCAGAATTCTGATTCTCTTCCAGAATTTTCCCTTCTGCATCATGTCCGTGAACATCACCCGGATCGTCGTCCAGGCGCTGCGGGAGGAGCGGCTCTCCCGGTGAGGGGGGTCTGGCTTTGGGCTCTCAGTCTGCATCCAGGGCCCTTCCTGGGACGTGGCCAAGCCCCTCTCCCCGTTTTCCAGGGAATGCAACCGCCGGCAGCAGGTCATCGGGGTGCTGAATGACCTGTACGCCGCTGCCTTCCTGCGGCTCTTCCGCCTCTGGAAGCGGCAGCGCGGGACTGTCGCCGACGCTGGGTCCTTCCTCAAGGGTTTGTCTTCCTGGCTTTTCCTTCTCCTTATTTTCCCTGGGAAAACAAGCCCAGGACAACCTGAAGACCCCCCCGCTGTGTTCTCAGCACATCCGAGCCCAGTTCCAAGGGCTGTAACGCCCAGAAGCCCAAACATTCCCCATTTAATCCTCACACTGAGGTTTTCCACAATCTTTTCTTATGCCAGTGCTCCAAGGGGTTTCCCCCCCTCCCCCATTTTCCATTCCAGAGGGATGCTGTGCCAGGGTGGCTTGAGGTGGGTGACATGTGGGGACATTCCCTGCTCCCCAGGCTCACACAGAGCTGTAGCTTAACCCCAGTCCATGAGTTTATTCCAGAGGGGATTGGTGTCAACAGAGCTAATGGATCCCCTGGAAATGGGGATCCAGCTGGCACTGCTGAGATCCGGCTTTGTCCCACCTGTTCCCTGGATTCCAGTCCAGGGGGGGTCAGGCTGGTGCTGAGTTGGGGGTGGAGAGGAGCTTCCCATGTTCCCTCATCCCAAGGAAAACACAATTACACCCTTTCCCAAGGGAAAACATTGGGATGCTGGGTTTGTTGGGCCTCTGCCACCATCCAGGCTTTGCTCCCCTCAACCTTTTCCCCCTCTGACCCTTCCAGAGCTGGAATTATCCACCAAAAAGAAGCCAAGGCAGCTGCTGAGATCCCTGGAAGCCTATGTGAGCCATGGCCTTCGGCCTTCCTCCCCTCCTCCCTCCTCCTCCTCCTCCCAGATCCACTTCACCAGCATCTGTGACCCTGTGGTCGAGCTGGAGCGAGATTCCCGACTGATCTGACATGGAGCAGGATACTGCACAGGGAATTCTGCTGCTGGATCAGCCCTTGGAGGGGGACACGCCGGTGTGTCCCCTGGTTTGGGGGCTCGGGAAAGGCCAGGAGAGGTCACAGAGCCAGGATTCACCTGCTCCAGGTGGAAATCCCTGGAAGTGAAAGAGGAGAGGCAGCCTGGCACTGGGATAGTCCCATCTGTCCTTACCCTCCCCCGGGGGAGCTGGGTGGTGGTGCCAGGCTCCTGGATCCCATCCCAGCTCCAGCAGCACCCAGGGGGAGAGAAACCCCAATTCGGGCTGTGGAGGCTTCACTGGGGCTGGGGGGAGCAGGACCAGGGGGACAGCAGGACCAGTGTGGCCCCCCCAGCTGGGGACCCCCAGAGTCACCATGGGGTGTCAGCACCCAGAGAAGTTTAACTAAAGGGGGTGGAAATGTGGTGGAAAAGAGTTTTGGATTTGGATTTGCCACCGGATTCTGTGGGATGCAGAGGGTAGTGGTGAAGCAGGAGTGCCAGGAGCCTGATTGGGGGTGAAAAAGGTGCTGTGAAGGAGAGAAATGAGGGTTGAGAGCTGCAGGGAGGAGTGTTATTCCCTCTGGGAGCAGCTCTGTGCCAGTCTTTGGGAATGTCCCCAAACCTCTCAAAATGGGGAGAATTCCCCAAAGCCCAAGACTGGAGAGAACTGAGGGGTTTGGGGGAGAGAAGGCTGGTGGGAGAATGGAGCATCATGACCCCCAGCCCCCCCAAGGTACGATGATTCCTGGGGGCTGAGAATGCTTCTGGATGGAAAAACATCCAATAAATGGGCAAAAAGGAGCCCAAAATTATGGATTTGCTTTCCTGATTCTAAATTGTTGTGGGAATCAGGGCAGGGAGGGAGCCTCTTTGGGGTGTTTTGAGGCAGGGGTGAGGTGAGGATGGGGGGGAATGCAGGTGGAGGGGGAGGGATGGGGGTGCCGGGAAGGGGAGGCAGTGTAGGTAGGATGCAGGGAGCAGAGAGGAATGTGGGTGCTGGGAAGTGGCAGGAGCGGGCAAGGGGCACCTGGGCTGTGAGGTGGGGGCTGGGCAGTGGGGGTGCAGGTAGAGGTGCGGGCAGGGTACAGGCAGGGCGTGGGCAGCACGAAGGACTGCAGGTAGGGGCATGGGCAGGACAGCCCCTGTCCCCCTGCACCCCGGGCCACCCATTAGTGCTGCCCCTGCCCCCAGAGCCAGCGGGACCGTGGGGGGCCCCACAGGCAATTACTCAGCCCAAGTCACAGGTGCCATTGGTGCCACCATCACCATCCTCATCACCACCCTCATCCTTGTGTTCTCAGCTCCCTCAGCACCAGGGCGAGGACTGAGAGGGGCAGGAATTGGCCCTGACTGATGCATGGCAGAGGCTGCTGCCATAAGTGGCATTTGGGGGGTTGACCCTGGGGTGGTTTAGGTGGCCCTGGCCCAGGCTGGGCAGAGATGAGCCTGGGGGCACCAGACTGGTGGTGGGGGTGAGAGATCGGGAAGGGCTGCAGGGGGGATGTCCTGGGGGAGCATGGTGGACCCCACCCAGCTGGGAGGAACAGGCAGAGCAGGAGCTCTGCAGGAGCCTCATGGGCACCATCCCTTGTACTCCTGGGGGACTTGGACCTGCTGGAACCCCCCAGGGGAGAGGAGACGGCCCAGGAGGCACCCAGAGGGTTCAGAAGAGAACTGTGAGGGACCCAACCAGGGCGGCGCCTCCTGAGCTGCAAATGATACAACTTCCCTCATTAACTTTTCTAATTAACTGTTTTAATTAATCAGGAGCAGTGCGATTTTCCACTTTAGCCAGCACATAGCAAGGGTTTTTTTAAAGCTGCTATTGTTAGAAACTAGTTTGGGAAAATCACTGGAACTTTAAGTTTTGCTAAACCAACTTTGATATGCTTTGATGAACAAAGCCTGGGGGAGAGATAAGTTGCTGAGAACTGGACACCAGGAATTCAAAATTTATAGACTACAAGAACATGTTGCAGGAACTAGAGATTATGAAGAAACTAACAAAGAGAATTCAGAATCAATCTACTGAAACACTCCCTATCTGGGAAAAGGATAATAAAAAGACTGGAAAATGTGGACTAATTAGCATGAGAAGTGAGAAATTAATAACCAATAGAATATAGAATACTACTTAATTAAGAGAATTATGTAACATAACCAATGAACATGAATTTGTTTGCTAAAATTGTATAAATAATGTAAAGTTTTGAAAGTGGGTGGGCATGTTGGGTGGAGGTATCCCCATGCACCCCAGCAATGTGAATAAACTAATGCCTGCTTTCTAAAACTTAGAAAGTTAGAGAGTTTGATTTATCCCAAGGTTTTTACTGAAAACTGGAGCTGCTGTGAGTGAGCAGAGGAGGGCTGGGGGAAACGTGGTGGTTGGAGCTGTCTTGTGCACCATCACCAGAAATGATGAAGTTTTCCATCCCAGGTGAGGGAAGGAGAGGCAGAACCTCCACCCCCTTACAGGGTCAATAAATCGATGAGGCACATAAATGTGCCCCATTTATGACTCAGGGGTAGGGTTACAACTGCGTGAACTGGTGGATGAAAGCTCTCAGCTTCTCCCGGTTGGAAGCAGACTGGAAAGGCTGGGAGAGCTGGAGGAGGGGTCCAGTGGGGGTCTGCAGCTCCTCCAGCACCTGGGGGGGCACAGGGAGGTCAGGGGGGGCAGCAGGACGTTGGGGTCTGGGGTGGCTGTGCTTACCCCCATGTCCTTGAAGCTCTGCAGGGAACTCAGGGCCAGGCTCCTGTCAGGATACCCTGTGGGGAGAGAAATCCCGAGGGCACCCCCAGCCCGGTCTAGGGGGCACTGACCCCCAAAAGCGAGACCCCCCACCTCGACTCACCATCCTCATCCTCATCCAGGAATTCCAGCAGCGCCTCCACGTAGTCTGCCTCTGGAATTGGGAGGGGTGTCAGATCCCAGCTCCTGGGGGGCTCCAGCCCCCTGCAGTGTCCCCAGGGCTTCCCCACTCTGGGGGTCCTACCGGGCTGGGGCCAGGGGGGTCTCTCCAGGAATTCCGCAGCCCGGCCGTAGCTCCGCAGGACGGGGCTCAGGAGGCGGCACAGGAAGAGGAGGAAGCCGGGGAAGCCCTGGGGCTCGCTGAGCTGGGGGGACACACAGCTGGAGTTGGGGGACAGCCCCCTCCCCCCAGCCCAGGGGGCGGTGGGGCACTCCCAGTACCTTGTAGCAGCGCTTGGGGACCCTGTCCTGGCTGTCACTGTCGCTGTCATCGCTGAAGTCCCACCAGGAATGGCCCCGGGACGAGGGTCGGGGGGCCACATCGCAGCCCCTGCACTCGCTCTCGGGCTGGGGGGACAACAGGGGGGCCACCTCACCTCAAACCCGCCCTGTGCCCCAGCAGGGACCCTGGACCCGTGTCCCAGGAGGGCTCCCGGGGTGATACCCACCTCCTCCTCCTCCAGCAGCCCCCCAAGGACGAGCTTGTCCAGGATGTCCAGGCTGTGGCGTTCGGGGGGCTGGCAGGGCTGGGGACACAGGACAGGGTTGACAGGCCACCTGTGTCCCCACCTGCAGCCCCAGCAGGGTGGGGGTGACAGGCCACCTCTGTGTCCCCACCTGCAGCCCCAGCAGAGTGGGGGTGACAGGCCACCTCTGTGTCCCCACCTGCAGCCCCAGCAGGGTGGGGGGCAGCAGCAGCAGCACCTCCAGGATCTTGCGGAGCAGCTCCTCCCGGCTCAGCACAATCCCAGCAGGGCTGGGGGGTCCCCAGGATCGGCAGCACCTCCAGCAGCAGGGCACGGATGGCACAGGCTGACAGGACAGGGGTGTCACCCACCCCTGGTGTCCCCAGGTCCCCAGGAGTCACCAAATTCCCCAGCATTCCTGATCCCCAGTGTCCCCAGCTCCCCCGGTGTCCCCGGTCCCCCCAGCATCCCCATTCCCCAGTGTCAACAATTCCCCAGCGTCCCTGACCCTCGGCATCACCGATTCCCCAGTGCCACTGACGCCTGGGGTCACCAAATCCCCCGGAATCCCCAGTCCGCAGTCTCACCTTCCCCAATCCCTGTTGTCACCAACTGCTGACACCTCTGACCCCCCCAGTGCCCCCAGGGCCCGGCACCACCATCCCCGCTGCCACCCAGCCCCTGCTGTCCCCGCTGTCCCCAGGTCCCCGTTCTCTCACCCCCCGCCGCCTCCCCGCCCAGGCGCTGCCGGACGGTCCCCGCCAGCCGCCCCAGCCGCCCCCGTGCCGAGGCCTCGGGGGGCCCCAGCCCGGCCCCGGGGGGCTGCAGCTGCCGCAGGCTGTGCAGCACCAGCGCCCGCAGCTGCCCGGAGAACCCCACGGCCCGGCCCCGCAGCAGGAGCTGCTCCAGCAGCCACGAGAAATCCCGCATCAGCCAGGGCAGCAGCACGGCCTGGGGAGAGACAGGGGGGATTCCCGCTGGCAATGCTGCTCCAAGGGACAGGAGGGTTCGCTGAATGCGTCCAGGACAGGGATGCTGCTGAGAAGGTCCGCAGGAATGCTGCTCTCAGGGAAGGGAAAGGTGGAGAGCTCCTTATCCCACCTCCCGGTGCCTGTGGAGCAGCAGCGCCGCGGTGATTCCCACAGCCATGATGGCGGAGCAGGCGCTGGAATCTGCTGGAGGGAAGAGGGGCTCGGTATCCAGGGGGTGATTAATTCCCACCCCCATTCCCCAGCAGGGAATGCCATCCCAAGGGATGCAGGGACCACCCGGCCCCCTCACCGCTCAGTGCGTGCAGCCCCAGCGCCGTCACCAAAATCTCCTCTTCTGTCCCCACACCGGGACCCAAAGTCCCCACATTCCCGACATCCGGCCCGCTGGGAAATCAGGGTGAGAGGGGTGAGGAAGAGGAGCCGGGAGCAGAGATCCAAGGGGAAATGCTGCCCGGGCTCAGCTCCTCACCACGTGCCGAGGATGGTGGGAAGCAGCAGCTGCTCTGGCCGATTCCTGGTGAGCATCGGCCCGACGAGGTTGTTCTCCACAAATTCCTGGGAATGAGGAGGAAGGAGCCTGTGGGTGCTCACAGCCCTCAGCACCACGAGCTGACTCGATCCCTGCATCCCCAGGGCTGGGGGAGCCCAGATCAGCCCAGGATGGATTCACTGGATACCCTCAGACACCCCAGCCCAAACACACCAACATCCCAGGAATAGCTCCCCAGTGCCAGGACAGAAATGGGGGCATCCCCAGCTGCCGTACCCGTAAGGAGAAGGGCTGGCAGAAATCCACCCGGGCACAGCCACGGTGCCGGCGCAGGGCCTGGAATGCTGCCCGGAGACACGCGGCGATCCCGAGGGGCTGAGGGGGCTGGGGACAGACGGGATGGAGGCACTGACGGCGGCTTTAGGGGGTGCCACTGCCCGGGGATGCTCCCAGGGATCTGGGGGAACACCACTCCCCAGAGATGCTCCCAGGGACTCCACCAAGCACCAGGACCCCCCTGGCCCCCTCTCACCGCTCCAGCCCTCCCCACTCCGCCAGGAGCCACGTCATAGGCGATTCCCACGGGGATGATGTGGACGTCGGGCACGGCTCCGTCCCGCAGCGCCCGCAGCACACGGAGCAGCCAGCGCCAGGCGGGAGCCGAGAGCCGCAGCGAACCCGGCGGCTCCTCCAGGAAGATGACCAGGGGCTGGTGGCTCCGCAGCACCTCCTGCACGTACTGGGGGCACACTGGGAGTACTGGGACCTGCCAGCACCTCCCCGAGTGCTCCAGGGCATTTTCCAGCCCCAGCCGCACCTACCGCATCCAGCACAGCGCCCGGCAGCCCCTCATCCCGCTCGCTCCAGGACTGCGCCATTCCCGAAGGCAGGAAAATCCCTCCCAGGCATTGGAGCAGGGATCTGGGGGGCAAAGACACCGTGGGCACACACACTGGAGCCCCTGGATCCTCTGGGAACATCCCGCACCGGCTCCTTACCGGAGGCCAGGGCTGGTCCAGGCGCCCACCGTCACCCTGGGGGCCCCGATTCCCTGCGAGAGGAGGAGGAAGGACAGGAGCGGCCCATCCAGCTGGGATTGGTGGGTGCACAGGAACACCAGCGGCACCTCGGGCTGCAAGGAAGGATCCCGGGGTGAATTCCCGCTATTCCAGTCAACGGGAGCGCCCGGCCGGGCTCCGTACCGTCCTGGCAGCCCGGAGCACCATCTCCAGCTGCCCCCACTGCAGCTGCACACTCAGGAACAGACGGCTCAGCAGCTTGGGCAGCATCCAGTGGCACAGCCTAAGGGAAAACTGGGAATGAGGAACCCCACGGGGATGAGGCGGCCCCCAAACCGCCAAACACTCCCACCCCCTCCCTCCCCTGCCTCAGTTTCCACAACCCATCCTGCCTCAAAATTCCCATCTCAGCTCCCAGAAAGGCAAATTCCCACTTTTATCACACCAGAAAGGCTGGATGTGATGACACACCTCCTTTCCACTGGCAACCAGAGCTGCCATCACTTATCCCTGCATTCCCCCCAAAAGGATCCCAACATGCCCTTATTCCCTGAGCAATTCCTTCCCTTTAATGGCTTGCAGGCATCATTTATTCCCACTGGATCAGACCAGCAATGAAGCCCCAAATTCCCAGTTCTCAGTGACAGGAGGGGGAAGGGAGTGGGGATGGGAAGGATCCCTCTGGTTCCCACCCTCCGGGGGATTGGATTTTCCCTGGAGGGAACTGTGAGAATGGCCCCAGAAGCTGTGGGGGACCCTGAGGGCAGCAGGCCAAAGAATCTCTGTGCAGATCCCAGAGGATCCCAGAATATTACTCAAAGGATCCCAGAATATCTCCTCAAGGATCCCAGAAAACGCCCAAGCGATCCAATGCATCCCCCCAAAAGCCCAGAGTACCTCCCAAAGGATCTGTATCCATCCCCCAGAGAATCCCAGAATATTCCCCCAAAGGATCCCTGACCTCAGCAGGAGAGGGGACAGTGGGGCCTGGATTTCCCCCAGGATCCGGCAGATCTCCTCCTTCCAGTGCCGCCGGGATCCCTCATCCCCTTGGGATCCTCGGGCCCAGCTGGTGGACACATCCTGCACCCTGGGGGGGAAGGGCAGGGGGGAGCACCCTGGGATCCATGGGCGGGATCCAGGGAGCCTCGGCGGCATTCCTGGGATCCCACTGATCCAGGATCCAGGGAGCCTCGGCAGCATTCCCGGGATCCCACTGACCCGGGATCCCAGCACCAAACAGGATCCCCCAGGACTGAGGGTGATCCCGGGATCCCCTCAATGCCCCCACCCACCTCCTGCTGCTGCAGATCTTCGCTGGCAGCTCCCTGGGGGTCTCTGCTGGAATTTTCCATTCCCAGGCCGCAAGGAATCCGCAGACCCTCCGGACCAGCCACCCTCGGAACCTGGAGGGGACACACAGACAGATCCTGGTGGGGGGGCTTTTCCACAGGGATCACCCCCACAAAATGCCTCTTTCCCAATATTTGGGATTTCTCCCCATTTTACAGGGAGGAGTTTTGAGGTGATGCTCCAGGACACCCAGCAGGAAGGAAACCTGGCATTCAGGGCATCCCAAATCACAGAATTTTCCCAATCCTCCCCAAATCCACAGAGAGCACGGTGGGATGGAGGTTTGGGATATCCCAGAGCGTGCAGGAAGGGCCGGAGGGGGACGAGGGAACTGCATCCCCTGTGATCCCAATGGATTCCTCGAAGGGTTTCAGAGCTGGAGCTGGGAATATCTGGAGCTGAATGGAGGAGAATGATCTGATGTGGGACAAAAACCAGCAGAGACTGGTTCATCCAGGGATTGTTCCCAAAGGGGAGAGGAGCCAAAGGGATCTGGCACCTCCAGAAGGAAAAACTTCTGGAAATGGCTCCGGAGCAGCTCCTGGCCACAGGACAAGGAGGGATACCCAGAATTTCATTTTCCTGGGAGATTTCCTCCCTCGAGGGGGAGGAGGAAGAGTAGGAAGGGTCAGGAAGTGGCTGCTTTCCCTTTTCCTGGGAGCCAGGCTCGCTCCGAGTGATGCCGGCTGGAGCAGGGAGAAGAACAATCCCTCAACTCCCTGTTCTTCCCATCAAGACTCCAAGTTTTGCTCAAAGAAAACAACGAATGACCCCAAATCCTCAATTCCATGGCTGGAATACAGCCCAAGCCCTCAGAGATGCCACTTCCAGCCTCCCAATATATGATTCATGAGCTCAGTTTGGGATACTTTGGGAGCAGGGAGGATGGAGAGGAATTCCCATGCGGATTTTGGGGAAATCTGGGGAAATGAGGTTTTCCAGGTGTTTTCCAGCACGCAGCTGATCCAGCCTCACCGTGTGTCCCTCTCCGTCACACGGCTGATGTCACGGAATCCAAGAGCGGAGAGATCCTCGGCACAGAATCCAACCTGGGAGGAGAAGTGGGATCAGATCACTGGACACGTGGATCCTCGGCACGGGAATCCTGTCACCCCCATCCCCTGATCCCAAGCTCTCTCACCCAGCTCCTGGGGGTGCAGGTCTGGCAGCAGCGCCCCAGAACAGGGCAGTGGTATTTTTCCAGGAACGGGATGAAAAATTCCAGGCTTTGGTCCGAACTGCTGATCCAGGTTTTCATCTGAGGAGGGAAAGAAAAACGGGAAGGAGGGGGATGGGACAAACCTTGGGAATGCCAAATGTGGGTGGATACACCCCAAAACGTGCTCGTGGTGTGAGCCATCCTGATATTGGGATGCAAGAGAGGAATTTGAGCTGGCATAAGCTGGTGGCACACCTTGGAGAAGCGTGGGGACACGGATCAACCCAGATCCCATGGGATCAGGCTGGATTTGCGGGGATCAGCAACCAGGGGGGGTGGGGCAATCGGTTCTCCAGCAGGATGAACCCTCAGAGACACGTTGGGAACCCAGATCCAATGGGATTAACACAGGTCCAGTTGGATCAGCTGGAAATATGGGCACGAGGGGGACAGTGAGATCCTGGGGACCACAGAGCCCTCATCAGCCCCTTCCACCCCCACATCTGGAGCCATGGGATGCCTTGGAACACCAGCATCCCAACCACCAGCCCCCCAAATCGGGATACCTCCCTCCAGGAGGAAAAAATAAGCAATTTGGGTTTCAAATGTTGGGGGGGGGGGCAAAGGGGGAAGGAAAAGAGGTTGTGGGGTGGGAACCTCGGTGGGGTTTGGGACCCCCAGGATTGGGGATATTCACCGGGGAAGGGGCTGGTGGCATGTGGGATCCCCAGGGTGTCACGTACCTTTGGGGGGTGTCACGGGTGGGGGGACACCCCCAAACTGGAGAGAAGAGGTGCTGGGGCTTGAGGGTCCTGGGAAAAATCCTGGAGACAGAAAGGGGTGGAAAGTGGGAATGTGGCAGGTTTGGGACACACGGAGCAGTCTCTGGGAGAGGGACCCCCGTGTGCCCCACTGGGAACTGGGGGAGGGGGAGTAACACACCCCACACGTGCCCCCCACACCCCACAGTCCTCACAGGGCCCGAGATGGGAGCGCAGCTCCCCGCACAGGCCCCACAGCCCCCGGAGACCCTTCTGGGGGCACACACCCCACACGGGACCCACAGACCCTTCTGGGGGCACACACCCCACTGACCCCACGGGACCCACAGACCCTTCTGGGGGCACACACCCCACACACCCCACACACCCCACAGACCCTTCTGGGGGAACACACCCCACACGGCCCCACAGACCCTTCTGGGGGCACACACCCCACTGACCCCACACGGACCCACAGACCCTTCTGGGGGCACACACCCCACACGGCCCCACAGACCCTTCTGGGGGCACAGGCCCCACAGACCCCACAGACCCTTCTGGGGGCACACACCCCACACGGCCCCACAGACCCTTCTGGGGGCACACACCCCACACACCCCACACACCCCACACGTTCCCCACAGCCCCCAGGCCCGGGCGGGATGTGCCCCCCGCCCCTCCGCAGCTCGGGGGGCTCAGCCCCACAGGCCCCGCGCGGCTCGGGGGCTCTCACGCCCCACACCCCCAGAGCCCCGGCGGGCCCCGGCCCCGCTCACCGCCCGCCCCGCCGCTCCGGCCCGGCCCGGCCCCGCTCCGCCCCCGGAACCGGCCCCGCCAACACCGGCACCAACGGCACCTACGGCACGGAACCAGCACGGGCGGGGAAAGGAGAGGGAAGGGGCACGGGAAAAGACAGGGAAAATGGGGAGAACTGAAGGGAAGGTCGAAGGGGAAGAAGGAGAGGCAAGCACAGAAGGAGAAAAGATGAGAAAAAGAAGAATAAAAGGGGAAAAGAGAGGAAAAGAACGGAAAAAATTTGAAGGGAAAATGGGGGGAAAGGTCAAGGAAAGCAAACAAGACAAGAAAAACGGGGGATGGAAAAGGAGAGAAAAAGGAAAACACAAAGGGAAAGAAAGCAAAGTAGGCGAAAACAAGAAGTATGGCACAATTAGAAAGAAAGGGAGGGCGAGAAAGACAAGTGTAAAGAAAAATAAAATGCCCCTGCGGTGGTTTGACCACGGGGGATGGAGACCAGGTGCCCCCCAAACTGCTCCATCCCTCCCCTCACCTGGGCAGAGCAGAGGAAATACAAGCTGGGTGGGATAAAGATGGGAGGGGTCACTCCCTCCCCATTGCTGTCCCAGGCAGAACAGAGCCGACTGGGGGAAATTATGGAATTTGTTACCAATCAAATCAGAGCTGGGGAATGAGAGGTCAAACAAATCCTAACAACACCTTTCCCCACCTCTCCCTCCTTCCCAGGCTCAACTTTATTCCCAGTTGTCTCCCTGTTCCCCCCCACTGGCACAGGGAGATGGGAATGGGGGTCACGGTCAGTCCATGCCACGCTCTGGGCTCTGTTCCTGCCCCTGGGCACCTGCAACCCCCTGGGCACTTCTGAGCCTTTCCCAGGACCTGCATCCCTTTTCCCAGGCCCCACATCCCTCCCTGGTACCCACAGCCCCCTCAGCACCCCCGTTCCTCCCTGTTCAGATGGGGTGACACTGGGCTCTCACCCCATCCCAGGGGGTCATTGGCACAGGTCAGTCCTCTCCTCTGGCAGCTCAAGCTGGTTCCTCACCAGGGGATCCCAAATAAAGAAATGCCTGGGCACTGACACCCCAGCAGGCTCCACTCCCCCTCCCTCAGCCCAGACCAGGAGCATTTTCAGGCCCTGGGGGCTTCTCGCTCTCCGTTGCTTCGCTGTTTGTTCCCAAGGGGCTGCCACGTGCTCAGCTTCACCCCCTCTGAGGGCAGTTTTGGGGGGTCACTGGGCTGCAGTCCATGGTGGGACATGGTAGTTACAGCTCACGCCCCGCGATCCAAGGGCTGGAAGCTGCAGCTTTGTCTGTTCCAAAGACTGTGCATGTTCCAGTCAACAGCTCCAGGCTTCACTTGGCTCCATCTCTGCCTGACACCACACAGCTGCCAGGCTCAAAGTTCATCCCGTGGCCTCACAACTCCTGTTATTTATGTCAGGCAAGCACTGAGATGCTTTCAGACGGAAAACGTTCCACACAGAAGGCCTGGAAGCTGGATGGGTTGGTTCCATATCAATCACATGCCTCGCACCCCCCTCCTCAAATGTCTGTCCTGAGTCCACTGACCCTCCCCAGACTGCTGGGCAGCTGGTGCTGGAGGCTTGGAAGAAAGTTTGAGGCCACCCCCATCCAGTGCCCCCCACCCTGTGCCGTGGGCGCTGCCCCTCGTGGGTGTTCCCATCAGGGTCTGTCAGGTACCTGGGCCAGGGCACCCCTGGGGTGAAGCTGTGGGACCACAGGGGTGTGGAACAGGGCAATGGAGGGGCTGCAGGTGTGGAATGGATGTGGGTGCAGGTGCAGTGCAGGGAGTGCAGGTGTGCAGGGCACAGGGGATGTGTGTGCAGGGCACAGGGGGTGTGTGTGCAGGGCACAGGGGTGTGTGTGCAGGGCACAGGGGTTATGTGTGCAGGGCACAGGGGATGTGTGTGCAGGGCACAGGGGATCTGTGTGCAGGGCACAGGGGGGGGGTGTGCAGGGCACAGGGGGTGTGTGTGCAGGGCACAGGGGATGTGTGTGCAGGGCACAGGGGGTGTGTGTGCAGGGCACAGGGGGTGTGTGTGCAGGGCACAGGGGGTGCAGGTGTGCAGGGCACAGGGGATGTGTGTGCAGGGCACAGGGGGTGCAGGTGTGCAGGGCACAGGGGATGTGTGTGCAGGGCACAGGGGGTGTGTGTGCAGGGCAGGGGATGTGTGTGCAGGGCACAGGGGATGTGTGTGCAGGGCACAGGGATGTGTGCAGGGCAAGGGGATGTGTGCAGGGCACAGGGGATGTGTGTGCAGGGCACAGGGGTGTGTGTGCAGGGCACAGGGTGTGTGTGTGCAGGGCACAGGGGGTGTGTGTGCAGGGCACAGGGGGGGGTGTGTGCAGGGCACAGGGGTGTGTGTGCAGGGCACAGGGGATCTGTGTGCAATGACAGGACGTGCAATAGAGCGGTGCCCGGGCAGCCCCTTTCCCAACAGCCCCAACCTCCCACCCCAGCCCCCCAATTGCTGAGATCCTCCCACCTCAGCAGTGCCAGTGCCAGCATCAGCACAGCATGGCACGTGCTGGCTGCCCCTGGCACAAAAGCATCAGCTCAGCCACAGGCCAGAACTGTGATTTCACAGCTTTGGTGACAGTGTCAGCAGGGAGGATTCTGTGCATCTGTCAGGAAAAGAGCCCCAGAGTCTGGGACAGGGAGGGAGCAGCTGGGGGGAAGGGAATGGGACCAGCTTTATTCTGGAACACGTTTGCATTGCTGCTGTGGTTTCTGTGCTCAGCACCAGGAGCTGGATGTGTTTGGGCCATCCTTGAACACCCAGCACCTCTGTGAGGAGCCCTAGACCCCTCCAAGGCTGCAAGCCAAAGTGTTTTGTCCATGGTGGAGGCAGGTCCTTTCCTGGAGGCTCCCTGGGACTCTGTCCTGGCACCTCCAAGTGTTGTGGGTTCCTCTGGCAGCAACTGAAGCCATGGGCAGCAGCCCCAGATGCCCCCAGGTAGGTCATGTACCTGTTGTGTCCGTGTTAGAGGCCAGTTCATGTCTGGCAGCCTCCCAGGATTCCTCCTGGGCACCACCAAGAGTGTAGTCTCTTCCTCTGGAGGTGGCTGAAGGCTTGGGCAGGAGACCAAGAATCCTCCTCGGTGTTTTGCTGAAGAGTTTGGTTCCTGCTGAAGGCTCCAGCAGCAGCAACAGGAGCAACAGCAGTGCCAGCAGTGCCAGTTGTGTCAGTTGTGCCAGTTGTGTCAGTTGTGTCAGTGCTGCAGTGCCAGCAGTGCCAGCATGCAGTGACAGTGCCAGCAGCACCTGCAGTGCCATCAGTGCCTGCAGTGACAGTGCCAGCAGTGGCAATTCCAGCAGTGCCAGCAGTGGCAGTTCCAGCAGTACCAGCAGTTCCAGCAGTGCCAGCGGTGCCAGCAGTGCCAGCAGTGCCAGCATGGTGCAGGCACGGTGGGCCCTGGCCCTCATCCTCCTCCTGGTGGCCCTGCCAGCCGGGGGTGTCGGGGCTGCTCCGTGGCGACCGTGGGCAGTGGGTAGGTGGGCAGGCCAGGGCCAGATCCCCATGAGGAAAGGCGACTTGTAATTCAGCTGACACACTTTATCTCTAAAGCTCTGGAGCGTGAGCCTGTGGATGAGGAGGCACCTCAGGGAGGCCGTCAGGCAGTGCCAGTCCCTGGGGAAAACACCCGGGCCGTTCAGCCAGCAGGAGTGTCAGGTAATCGCTGGCCTTCGGCCACCCGGCAGCATCTGCCAGATCCTGAGTGTCTGCAGGCCCTGCCCTGGTGCTGCTGCTGCTGCTCCTCGTGTCAGCAGCCAAAGTGTCAGCACAGAGCCAGAGCTCTGCCAGAGCCAGGAGCCACCGGGGTCACTGTCACCTCAGGGCGGGGGAGGTTGTGGCCGTCGCTGTGCCAGGAACACGCACTCGGACCCTCTGTGGATGTGGGGAGATGCTCAGTGCCCCCCACATCCTGTTCTCAGGGATTTCACAACTTTGCCCTTTTGGGAATGAGGCTCCCTGGACCCTGCTCAGCAGATGATGGGAAATGTGACTCTGGATTGAATGTCCTTCCTGCGGCACCAGCATCCCTCCAGAGGGATCCTGGAGGCCCTGGCACAACAGAGGGGATCCCTCCTGGGAATGGGGGCACAAAGGGCTGCACTGACGGGTCCAGCACGGCCTGGGGGGACCCTGCACCATCCTCCTGCAGCCTCTGTGCCTGACCCACACTGAGGCTTTACCTTTCCCTGATCCTTGGCAGTGCTGGCCAGTCCTGGGGAAGGCCCCACTGCTGGGCTAGAGGAATGTTTCCCAAATTATGCAGGCACTGGGCAGTCCTACCAGGGGCCATAAGTGGGAGACAAGACCTGACAGCTGGTCTTGGAAGAGGAAGGGCAGCGAGGGAGAGCG